ATGAATAGTGAGATTGACTGTCACATTATAACACCCCCACGGTTGAAAGGGCGAGCATGTTTGATGTGACAGGGATTTGAACCCTTGACACACAGATTGCAAGTCGAGCGCCCTAACCACCTGGCCATGCTCGGCCGATAACTTTGGTAGTCACAGCTGAGTAATGATGTGTTATATTTTCAACAATAATAGGTTTCACACCAGCTTCTCATGAGTGCAATATTTCCAGATTAGATGCAGCTTGTGAAAAAAAATCATGCACCTATGGATTTTTAATAAAGTATACAGGTGTTGCCTGCATAAATATAAAGAAAAAAAACAAATAATCATGTTAACTTTATAAAGCAATATTCTGTGCATGATGCCAGTGAAAATTGATGATATTGCTTCCATCTTCTTGACTCATACATTACTACTAGATCCATCAAAAAATTCAACAGCCATATTTTGTTCTAGAGTGATTTCTTGCTGATTTAATGTGAAGAGTGAAAGGAATAACAACAGAATAGTATTGTTTTTTTTGCTTGATTCTTAGTGATTTACTTGAAATGGGAAGGATGATATACTTTAATCTTCTTCACTTACACTATCAGTTGCATCATCATTCAATGGGAAACATTTTTTCTGAAATGATTTAGCTGTTGGTGTAATACGAGGAGCAACAAAAACTGGTACTTATTGCTTTTTTGCTCAATTATTAGGGTTTTACTTGAAGTAGGAAGTAATGATATCTTTTCATCTTCATACTCACATTATCAGTTTCAAACTAATCAAATTCAGTAAGCATACTTTATTTTGGAATGACTACTGGTGTAGTGTCTAGAGCAATTAGTCTTTTGAACTCTCTTCTACAAAATCACAGGGCAGGTAGGGCAAGAGTATATACATATAAATGATTAATGTATATCACAAACTCAAATGAAGAGTACTTGAAGAAAGCTTTATTTATGTTAGCGTTTTGATTCAGAATAATAAAAAACTCCAAACAAATGCTTTTGGTTTTTCTGCAACCATACTTGGCTTTATTGTGGTATTACAGGATACTCAGTGTCAATGAAACTAATGACTCTCACTAACATTAATACTGATTTCTTAACTTCATTTCCTATTAAGACACTTTCTACCAGGCAGTGGCTGTAAAGCTGCACCTTGTGCATGAATGTGGACAATAATGCTCTCCAAGAGTAGGTCAGGTGATGCCTCAAGATTACAACCTTCCTTAAGTTTGAATGGGAATAACCAGTTGTATGGGTAGTATTAATTGCTCTGGGTAGGTTTAATGTTACGAGTTACCTAAGTAAGGTTGAGTTTGGTAAGTCTGGAATAAATTATTATGAAGTGCAGTACAAAGAAAGAACAGCTCAGATCATGCGACTGTTCAGTGTCCAAAGCATACGCATGTACTTTTTTTTCTTTGAGTTGAAAGAATAAACATTGTTCATTGTGTCCAATCTCTATTTCCTTTTCACAAACTGAGTCAAAGTCAGAGACTTCAGAATTACTTTGTAATAAATATCTTGATCTAATCTATGTTATTCTTCAGCCCTTTATTATCTACTTATGGTGAAAATCACTCTCACCTAAGAATAGTACATAGCCATTATATCCAACCTAATTACTAGGGCTTGCCAAATATAAAAATAATTTTAATAAATATTTATATTGGTTTCACATTCTAAAAGCTGTCAATAAACAATATTTGTAAAGCATGTAATATTAAAAAACATAAAATAGGAAGTACAATGGCAAGGAATAACTTACTAGAATAATTAAACTTGCTTTATTTTTCTGAAGTTTTTAAATATCCACTTGCAGGCATGTAGTACTTTTAATTGTACTTTCACTTATGTTTAACTTCTAATAAGATAAAATACTGGTTCATAGTGAAAATCTTCTAATCTTACATCAAACATTAGATAATTTTTGGACTTTTTTTATGCATTAAATAAATATATGTTACGTGAAAGTAATACTTCAGTTACTGTGTGCAAAGTATACTCATTGTGTTTATGAAAATTTAAAAAGTTTTGCATTACCTTTTCATTCCTTTCACAAAGAAATTTAAGTTGCTGGGACTTCTTGTGCATGAAAACTCCATCCAAGTGGCCAGTTTCTACATTTCGAATCTCGATTGCTTTATTACCCCAACCCATTATTTGGCCGGTACCAATATAGGCTGAAAAACAACATACAGTATTCTGAAACACGAATCATTCATTACTATTTTAAACTGTAGAAGTTACAACAAACTATGATAACAGCATCAAGTATGGCACATTAGATACAATTGGATATTCTAAACATTTTGGATCCAGAAAATACATCAAGTTAAGATATGGGATACAATATACAAGTAAAAAAAAAAAATCAACTGCATATTACTGCTCATATTTCATAGGATGTCCTAAAAACAAGTATCTTAAGGCACTGATCTTATTTTGTGCTTTAAAAAAGTGAGTTATGAAGTCAAGTATTTAATGTTAATTTTTGATTATTTTTACAACTGACTTTATATAACTACCAATCATTACCATAATTTCAATACACACATGAGAAAAACTTTACTGTTTAGATGATGCAATACATTATTTTTTGTTTGAAAATTCTGTGCTGCAAAGATGGTTTGGCTATCTGTGCCACAGAAGGGTAGTACAGTTCTTTGTTTCGTGCAAGAACAATGAATTAAAGGTGAAACGTGTAAAAAATAAAAATTATTTTACACATAAGTTATAATTAAAGTTTTTTGTAGTGGTAATGGTATAGCCAAGAAAAAAAAAAAATTAAGATGGGTCAAAAGGACCTATTATGGCCATAAAAATTTGAAATGCAATGAATATGAGCAGTGTCATCACTGCCAATGATTAAAGTCAATTGGACACCATAAACAAATGTATAAAATTATGCCATTACTCGGAACTGTTGCGATGGCATGAAAGTAAAACATGAGCAACTGTGACTTGACTGTCACAATGCTCACACATTGGCAAACCATTCCCTTGTAAAAGAAAAAAATGATAAAGAAAACTGTGGCCAATGTGAAGCCTTGCCAGGACAACTTCCTCTATCTGGTTCCTATTCAAACTAGATGGCCAATCAGCAACAGCATGCTTTATCTCAAATAGTTTGTTGTAATGATGCTACCACAAATTGTTTGCCAACTGGCATGATGCCTTACCTCACCATGAGATCCAAATATGTAGTAGGCAAAGCTGTTTGCATGACTCACATCCTCAAACTAATTTCTATCATTGCACGTGTTATTATAAGAGCATTTGTTGATGGGAAGAAATACACTGCTGTTGATAGTGTTGATACAACTATATATATATTACTATTTGATATCATGTTTAGTTCCATTTCTTTTCTTATTTACAGTTTTATCGATTCATTAATCATTTAACTGTAAAGGAAAATGTTGTCTGCAGAGCTGTAAACTCTGTATGGAATATTACTGTGACTGTATGTTAGGGATGTGAAATTTGTTTGTTTTTGAAATTTCATGCAAAGCTACTCAAGGATTATCTGTGCTAGCCATCCTTAATTTAGCAGTGATAGACTTGAGGGAAGGCAGCTAGTCAACACTACCCACCACCAACTCTTGGGATACTATTCACCAATGAAGAGTTGGATTGGCCATCATGTTATAATGCCCCCATGACTGAAAGGACAAGCATGTTTGGGGATAGAATTCGAACCTGTGACACTCAGACTGCAAGTCGAGTGCCCTAACCATCAGGCCACACCTGGCCAGGATGTTAAATGAAAGAGAAGAAATCCAAGGAAACTTGTGCATAGCAAAGACAGATAAGGTGGACTTTGTGTCTAGGTTGTGTAGTGTATACCATCATGGTGGAAATCTCACTACCAGCTCTTTATAAATGTAATTTTGCATAATTATTTTTTAAAATGTTGTTACTGTGTGACAAGATTTAAGGATGGCACTTTGTCTACTTTTAGACATTGTGCTAAGTTATGAATTTGCCCAAACTATGATCCCCCCATCTAAATTTTTTTACACATTTATCCAGGATCCACACTTCTCACGAAACAACCAGACTTTCAAGAATCTGCAGATCTTTCACATCCCTGATAGCTGGAGCTTTATGATAACTATTATTAAGCTTACAATTCATATTGTGGAAAGATTATATTTACAACTGCTGGTAAATTCTCCAGAATCGAGTTATGTTTTGTGAACTATTAAATAATTGTAAATAATACTGTGTGTATATATTAGTTCTAAATATCAACATCAATAATAGATGATCCAACAATCTGTTTCTTACAAAACTCAAAATATCCTCAAATTAAATAATGTGATGATTTTTAAAATGAATTTGATTGATATTTAATTTTTCCAGTAATAATATTAAAATATAACTAGGGTAAAAAAACTATAATAAACATAAATGAAAAAAAAAAATAATAATAACATACACTACTTTGAAAAACAACCAAAAATATGCATCTGCTCAGTATCAATATCAAAATATCTGTAGTTGCTGGTTTTATTGTTTATAAACCAGTCTGTATTAAGGATACAAATCTGTTCACTTTGGTTATTTGGTGATTTACAAGATTGATCAAAATGACAAAGCCCACATATATAGGGTTAAAATGAAACAGAATAAACCAAAAGTGAACAATCTCAATACAACAAATTTCTGATGATCTAAAAATACCTAATAATGTAATAGTTCAGAATGCAAAGTAAATATGCAATTTATTTTCTTTCTTTTTGTTTGTCTTTTCTCTTTGTTTAGACTGTGTTGGATGTCTTAAATTTCATTAAGATTATTTTCATTCAATGATGTTGTTTATTTATTTTATGGTATCTATGAAAAGTATACCCAAATGACTCACTTGCCTTAATTAAACATGCACACTTTAGTAAATAACCGTTCTTTCACTTACCAACTGAGGAAGGCATCTCACCCCACTGGAGCACAATATTCTTACTAATTCTTCCATATGTATTTACGTAAACACCTTCATCTAAAAATAAAAATACAGCCTCATGCAGTCCAATGTTAAGTAAATATGTTAATAAATACTTTCTTTTAGTAATACATGTCTTACCACTCTTGAACAACAGAATAAATGTATTTGTCTACAAAAATGTAAGGATCAGAGAATATCCCCACAAAGATAATAACTAACATAACCAGCAGTTTATCTATGACCACCTGAAATGTTTTCCGAAACACCTAAATGAAAAAATAAAGTTCAGAATCAGAGAAACAGGACTGGTCATTTTACAGATTGCATTGCTATTCTTAAAGATAATGGTCAGTTAGCAATTATTTTTCCAAAGGTAATTTTAATCTGAAAATAAAGAATAAGGTATGTAAAATACAATAAATTTAGCTCTTTCAGTCAAACAGTCATGAAAAAATCAGTGGCATGTTTGATGGTGAGGTCTCCCAATTACACACAGTGCTTCTTTAAAGATGCTGCATACTGCATGCTACTATGAGTCTATTTACAAAAACAATTAGTGCATCTATGATCATAATCTGGACAAAAAGTAAAATCCACATAATGCACAGGTAGTAATGGACTGTTTTTGAATAGAAGGGTATATTTACTCAATAAGCAACTGATCTTACACATATGGAGGCATGATGCAGAAGCAGATGTATGCATGGCCATCGACACTATCCATCTTTGGCAATTTAATTAAACAACACACGTGGTAAAATGAAAGTGTCTCTCTCCAGAAGCACTTGGTAACAAGAATCACAATATGCTATATCAATCTCATCCATTTACCTGAGTAAGATGTATTTACACATGGTGAATGGTGAGCTAGTGCAATGCAACCATGGTTGTACACACTGCTTGAGAGGTTCTTCTGTTGCTAAAGTACAAATATGTTCACATGCTCCTATCAATAGTATATCATGTAACCAGGAACCCTACTCTCTGTTGTAAACATATTTTTTTGTGTACTACTAAAAGTGTTACAGATAAACTGCATGTTGTCTTTAAATGTTTTGGGAAGATATTATTTGTTAATTCTTAAGTTTTGTTGAGAACTTAGAATAAAATTACTATATTGTGCTACTGTTACATTTATACAAAACAAGTTAAGTTTGGTGCTCTCAAAATAAACTGCAAAATGTAGTTGTAAAAAATGTTTTGTCCCATAAAAGTTAATACCAGTAGTTATTAGCCATAATATAACAAATTATCCGGTCTTATGTTTGTTATCTAACATTCATGTTATCCAGTAAGAAAGAGAGCAAAGAGAAAAATGAAAAACTCATGAAGTTTGTAACATACATATTCTTTATCAACTATTGGTAAAAAAAAATTGTAAAGGAATACCACTGAATGAGCAATCACATGAAAAATATGTACATCATAAGTACCTTTCAGTAGTTGAAATAAATTATTTTTCCAAAAACAAATGTTAGTATCTTTTCTATAAAAATGCTTATGAACAAATACTTAATTAGGATTTGAAGAAAAACATACAAAACTGAGCTGTCACATATAGTCGGTATGATCAAGTCACATCCTAAAAAGTAACTTTACAGGGAGATATTATAATCAAAGGTGATTTTACTTAAACATTTGCAAATCATAAATGCACTGAAATACAGCAGTTCAATGTAAGATGACAAAACAGTTATAATGATCGAGAACATTAATAACACACAGAAAAACAAATTACATATATAAAAAAATTAAGTAATATGAACATTAATGAATATTTTAAAATCACTACAAAATGCATAAGGAGTCCAAAATAGTTTTTGTTCATCTTGTTTAATATTTAAACTAGGCACACCTAAACTATAAAATAATAGTGTTTACAACTATAGGGTGGTGCACATTATGTTTTGACTTTTAAACATGTTCAGACATTCTTTAATCCAAATTAAATTTATCTTATACTTTATTCACGGTATGATGTTTTGGGTGCAGTGAAGAATATTTATTTAAGATTTGATAAAAACATTGTTAATTTTCTATGTTCAAGTACAAAACCTTTGTATCATCTTCAAAAATGTTGTAGTTTGAAAATGTACTATCATGTCAATTTTAGAGGTATAGCTCTCAGAATCTTGCTGAAAATAAAACAGTTTCTTCTGGCTTTTAATTCTTTAGTTTCTAAAGGGTATTTTGAGTGCTTACGTACTCAGAATGATAATTTGAGCTAAAAGTTTGAAAAAAGATTCATTATTTACAAAATATAATAATAATTTAAGTTACATTGAATAGAAATTCTTAAAAGAAACAAAAACTGCTCTGTTTTCATCCCTCTGTGACACTTAAGTTATTAGAAGTGCAGTAACTTGGCTGTTGCTATCTCATTAGAATTATTTGTCAAGATGGTCACATATCTTGATCATTCACCTTTTAGTTTTAATTGAAACTATAAGAAGAAATTACAAATACAACCCAATTGTTCTGATAATAGAGAAGGCTAGATGAAATATTTCAGTTTAATTAAGTCATTCTCTTACTGTTAGCGTGCAAAAAATGAAACACCAAGTTATTTTTATGCTTGTGAAATTTCTAGGGGAATGCTCTTAAGTTATAATAAAAGATAAAAAGTAAACAACTGTTGATATTCAACAAATAGAAACAGCTTAGTGTTAGTAGTAGTGAATAAGCTGAATTCTGCTGGTTCAATTCCAGCTTCAGCTTACCAATCCTCAGACTCTCACAATAAAAAATATTAAGATGTAAGATGCTATGTTGAGTTGATGAATCAACCCTCAGCCAATGACAGGGAGAACTTAGGTTTAGTTTTTGTAATTTTAACAACACGAGTTCAATTAATTACCAAAATAAAATTTACATTAAAAAATAATTTATAATACATAACAAAATCTCATAGTATATGCAGAATGTTAAGTACAGCCATGTAAGGCTCAAAGACCCAATACTAATCATACATGGGTTAAATATTAAAAAAATATAAAACAATTATGTTGCTTTTTACAGAATTAAGGTGTTTAGCAATATACATAATCAAAATAATCATATTTGCAAATGAAAATTAAAATAAAGTCTACCATAATTTATTAATTTTACAGCAATAATTAAAACACCCGCCTCACCTGTTGTTTTATCTGGAGAAAACAATTTGATGAAAAGTTAGAGAAAGCTGCTATACAATTTCTAAGTATCTTCATTATACCACTAAATGTAACTATAATCAACTAAAACAGAGAATAAAAATACTAAAAATGTCTCTAACTAATTTCATGTTTCTTAGCATTTATTATTTGACATAACATTGATCTGATTAAGTTTTAAAATAAAACTGAATGTCTTACTATGAGATGTGTAACGAATTTGTTACGCATTTATTTTAATATGAACATTTATTTTAATATGAACGTTGTTTAAATTAAGTTTATATTTAGAAACATACATAGCTTATACTGTTAGATAGGTACTGTGAAACTCCTGCCTATTCTCCAAATTTATAGAAGATTCTCGAGAGTAAGAATCAACAATATATCTATATACGTAAATGCTTTAACCAGTATTGTTACTTAAGACTGAATTTTCTAGAAAACCTTCCCACAGCTATAAATATAACCAACGTGCCACACCAAGGGAGTGTCTATAAAATCGGTGTGCTATAAAACTTTGAAAGCTATAACTGTGATTGTTATAATGCTTATTAATCGGAAAACGTAAGATATCTGACCAGGAATATTTATAAATTTCGAACGTTACAAATCATTTAAGTTCAGTGGATTCTCATCGGACATCAGTAATTTTATGAAGACATAAATTCATTGTGGAACACCTAGTGTGTGTGGCCAAGGACAAAGCTAGCTAGCTTCCCAGCGGATCATCTCTACATTAACTCGCTTACCATGAACCCTCGATAACATATTAATGAAGTTCCAGACTAAAAAGAAAACTTTATATTGTTTGTAAGTTTGTGAAACTTCTGTTTATAAATCATTGTTTGTATAAACTATTTGTAATAATTGTTATTGTAAATTGTACTGTTGTGTATATATTAAAACGTATTTGTGTTAAAAACGAAGACGGTATGTATCAATCTTGTTGACAAATATTGTAAATTGACTAAAATATCGGCATATACTTAAATACTAAATTTAAATTATCAGTTAACTCAGCTTTGGACTATTCAAAATTCTAATATGTAACAGATGGCACCCCACAATTACTAAACTTCTAAGATTCTACTTACTTCTATAGCTAATATTTATTTTTAATGTTGAAAAAAATTTGTAAGTTTTCTGAAAAAATGTATCAAGCACAGTATTAAAACTTACTATCATAGCATAGCAGCAGCTGCATTCCTTTAGAATTTGGCAGTGTCACAATAATCTGGGGTGTGATGGGACCTTGGCTCTGAAAAAAACAGTAACGGTTTTAAAGCTTGGAAAAAAACAAAACAACAACAACAAAAAAAAAAACGAAAAAAGTATGATATATATATATATTGGTTATTTTTTATTCATATGTTTGCCCACTAACAAAAGATTATTAAATGCTATGGCCATTGAAAAAATTACATTAAAAACTACCCAAAATAACTTATACAAATTTGTTTCATTTTCAACAAATACTTTAAAAGGAGCCAATAATAGTTTTTT